ACCTCCAAGCCATGCTGAAAACATGCATTAATGTAAAAAAAAAACACATGTAGCCTACGGTTCATAAACTTTATGCTATTGAATTCTTAAAAAAAAAAAAAAAAAAACGTTTTTCTATTTTCATCGCCATGGGAGAAATAATTATGAAACTAACATAAAACAATAGCAATTCGAAATCTATCCTATTTTTGCATTAAAGCTATGGGGGGTGTATTTTTTTTTAAATTTATATTTCATTTAACCCTTTAAAGGGCAAGTTACTGGTTTTGATCCCTTGCATACCCCATTAGAAATGTAGCCCCCCCCATCCCTTAGTGAGGTCTAGAAGCACAAGATCTATATCCAGCCATTCAGCAAAGATGGCTTTACATCTTATAATGGCATTTGACCAATTAGATGAGCCCTTGAATTATATATTGTCTACTGTAAATTAAGTTGGGGAAAAAAAGTTCAGTCAAGAAAAAGGTAAAAAGCTAATTGAAAAGTTGAAAAGTAAAGTAAAAAAAATTAATAAGCCTAGTAAACGATTATATTCAGGTTTATAAACTAAAAGATGTGTCAGTATCAGCATTGATGCCTCTAAGGTTTTGTTGTACCCCCCAAAAATTGTGTTTCTTTCACTCTGAGTGTTTTTTTTTTTTTTTGTTAGTAATATATTGGGGCAAGTTGACATTAATCTTTGCCATCAAAATATCCATATTTTTTTTGTATTATAAAGGTAATAAGATCTTGTCCTGGATTGCAATAACACTATTGGCTTGAAATTTGCATTTCCAAAGTATTTCACTGAGTTCCCGAGAAATGGTTAAATAGCAGGTAGGCATATTAATCCCAAATTTTCATCTGTTTTTAATTTCTCTGTAATCATGTTTCTTGAGAGCCCAGCTTCACCAGAAAGCCAAAATGAGGACTTGAGTTATTAATTTCTATTTGTTGATAGTGTCAGCCCCCTGCTTGTCCTTGATGGAAAGTAGTCCCGCCTCCAGCTCGCAGCCTCCATGCGCCTTTACGCACCGCGCTCAGAGAGGAGCTGGGAGCGCAGGAAGATGCTGCGAGGATTCAGACTGGATATCCGCACAATTTAAGATTATTCATCCCTAAATAATTACCATGGACATTCCGGAAGCCACGAAAATGACCGCCAGAGATACTGGGTGCAGCAACCTTTCCATCCCGAACTGTGGGAATGTAGTATCTGTAGGATTTCCAATAACCATGATGGTCACTGGCGTCGTTGGCAACTCTTTAGCTCTTATCCTGGTCTACACATCTTACGGGAAAAAGGAAAACCGAAGGAAAAAATCGTTCTTACTTTTTATCGGATCTCTGGCTTTGACGGATCTGTTCGGGCAGCTTTTGACCAGTCCGGTAGTGATCTCAGTCTACCTGGCTGATCAGAGGCTGTCTATGATCGACACCTCCGGGAACCTGTGCGCATACTTCGGCGTCTGCATGACAACTTTCGGGCTCTGCGCTCTGTTTTTGGCAAGCGCCATGGCCACGGAAAGGGCCATGGCGATAACAAACCCTCACTGGTACTCTAATCACATGAAGACAAGTATCACTAAGCAGTCCCTGGTTGCCATATGGTGTGCTGGGTTCCTCTTTGCTTTGTTGCCCGTCGCGGGGATCGGAGAATACACGGAGCAGTGGCCGGGCACCTGGTGCTTCATCAGGACAGGCAAGAGTGAGGCTCCTGGCAATGGCTTCTTTGCCTACACGTTCGCTTTTCTTGGGGTTTCCTCTCTACTTGTGACGCTCTGCTGCAATGTGATGACTATCCGCGGCTTGATCATCCGATGTAAAACAAAGACTGGTGCTTCCCAATCTTCCAAGCACTGGGAGCGTCTTACTACAGAGACAGTCATCCAGCTGTTAGGGATCATGTGCGTTCAGATTATTTGCTGGTCTCCTCTATTGGTATGTATCTCAGGTGACTTTATGCTTCTCTATTAAATGAATTATTTCTTTTTTTCACGACTTTTCACAATTATTCTATAGGACAGTTTAAGTTTTTCATTTGTTTTACCCAATAGACCTATAAAGCACAGTCATTAAAGGGCAATTTAAATAAAAAAAACTGTTATTTGTTTAAAAAAGCAGATTATTGGTAGACTAACTTAGCTATAGAGCCTTATAAAATCATTCATATACTTTGGACTAGGTCTGAAACAACTAATCGGATTAATCGATTATTAAAATAATTGTCAACTAATTCAGTAATCGAGTAATTGTTTACTGGATTATAGAGACTCTAAAATATGCCTTTAGCTGAAAGAGCGACTCAGTTAGAGCAGCAATTATACCAAGGTTGTAAAAAAATAAAAATAAAATATTTTGCATTTAAGATTCATAAAAAAACAGTAATAATTTGTCTGTCAATATGCTCTACCCAGAATTCCTCAAGTTGGCGTTTTGGGTTCACCTTGTTCAAAGGGGAACACCGTCTTTTTACATTAGGTCCTTGATTTTACGTTATTACATCATGTTCTACTCACCCATATGAGTTTTGTGTCATTTGAAGCTGTTCTGAAGATATTCCGTTAGGTTACATCCGAGTAACGTCTTCCTATGGGCAACGAGTTGAAGGCAGAAACTTAACTGTTCATAATTGATCATTTATGGTACGCCAGCATTCATAACATGTAGGTGAATCACTGACTCCGCTTTGTTTTAAAAAACAGAAATATAAAAAATATAACCGTGGATGTCTGGGGGTCAGTGATTCACCTACATGTTATGAATGCTGGCGTACCATAATCGATAAATTACGAACAGTTTAGTTTGTTCCTTCAACTCGTTGCCCATTGGAAGACGTTACTTGGATACAACCTAACCAAATATCTTCAGAACAGCTCCAAATGACACACAACTCATATGGGTGAGAAGAACATGATGTAATAATGTAAAATCAAGGTCCCAATGTAAAAAAAAAATATGTTGTTCCCCTTTAATTTCCTAAAAAATCTTCTTTAAGGAACCTTTGGTTATCTGATTACCGTACTAATCAATTAATCAAATAAATAATCGACAGATTAATCGATTTGCAAAATATTTGGCATTTGGACATCTTTTTTATAGTGCAAACAGACATTTCAGTACAAGTTTTCAGGAATGTATGTTAAAGATTTGCAAATAATCTGCATAATCACATAGAAGGTAAATGAGGCAAGCATCCAAAAATTGTTCACTAGTAAAAATGTGAAATGTGTTGGTTGTTTGTATTTGGGCTCTTCTATTCTGATGCCCTTAAATAAAATCCAGTGTGGCTGAATAACAACTATACCTAAGTTTAGTTTAATCTAAGTGTTAGTGCAATTTTGTTAAGGGAACATTAAATAACAAACTGCATAATAATAAAGAAAAACAAGGCAGGTAAGGGGAACAATTGCCAACTAATAAAACTACTATTGTCTGAGTTTATTAATTGAAACATCCTGGTGGTAAAGTCATGGTGTAGAGGTAGCTTTCTTCAACAGTGAAAGATCACATCAAATCTGAAGATGTATAAAGCTAAATACTATAGAGCTTCACGTTCTAGCAGAACAGAGTTTAAACGAAAAGGTGGGGCCAGAATTGAGCAGTTTAGATCAAAGCATTTCAATTTAATAAAACGACTCAAAGACGCAACTTGAAGAGTGCTGTTCACTAGAGACATACTAGACGAAACTCGAGGGGTTAAAATTGCTTATTAAATCAGTTTTTAATAGATGACTCAGGAGGGCTGAATAAATATGCATAACCCACTTCTTTTTTTTATTTGTCAGGGAAAGAAAGTGTTAAATTTTTCATCAACTTTATAATTTTGCACTGTTTTGTGGCCATAAAATAACATATGTAAAGGGTAATGCTACTTTAGCACTACTTTTTTCCACATATCTGTTTGTTGTGTTTTAAGTACTTTTATCTTATTTTCTTTTACTTTTTTTTCTTTTATTTTTTTTTACTTTGTCTAATTATAAAGTCAAACCAAAACCCAGATCTAATATTGAGGAAAAAAAACATTTCATATTAAATACTAATCCACTTAGGATTCCTGTTTCATGCTCTGTTATAAGGTCATGCATTGTCAGCCATATCAAGGATAATGATAAAAGCCAATGTGCTTTGAGGAAAAAAAGGGTTCACTGTCTGTAAAAGTTTTAAACCTTTTGTACTTTTAGGTATCAGTTGGAAAAGATTCAAGTTATACATTACGTACATGGTTTCCCTTAGCCAAAGAGCACTTCTCCCCATCTGTGCCCTTTTTATATACTAAAATGTGTCATTATGTCCTCTTAGGGAATGTTGCTGAGGATGATCTACAGCCAAGTATCCTCAGAAGAATGTAATTCAGCATACAAAAAAACAAGCAACATCCAGAACAAAGTTACAAATCTAGACTGTGACTTCTTTCTACCCGCGATACGTTTGGCCTCCCTCAACCAAATCCTGGACCCATGGGTCTATTTGCTCCTGAGGGAGATCCTCCTGCGAAAGTTCTGCATCATGGCTAATGCCGTCTCCAATTGCTCCATGGAAGATCAGAAGGAAACACAGACAGCAATGGATGCCCTCAACAAAAACAAACACAATCAAGATGGCAACAGCATTTGTAAATCACCAAGCAGCTAAGTCGGCATCTGTCAGCAATTTCTTACCGAAGGACTACAGGTAAAAATGCTTTCAGAACTATGGGAGTAAAAAGAAAGCAAGTGAATGGATACTTTTTTACACAAGAACTTATTGACATGGGATACAGCTGAGCCACTAGTACAGGTATTAGAATCTACTTTGTTTAAAACCCATTTTGTTGAAGAGTACCAAACAAGCATGTGGATGCATGACTGCCATATCGTTAACTCAGCCAGAGCTCTCACTTGGCCAGAGTTCATATAAGCTTGTGACAGATGCAATATCTGAACGAGGATTACTTCTAACTGACAGCTCATTTATCTTGTGAAGCCATGGATTGATTCAAGAAGACTATTGAATGTATTTTTTTAATGAAGAAAAATATGGGAAAATTGCTTAGATATGCTGCTTTCTCTCCTGTGAGACATAGGCATCTTGCTTAAAAAAACAAACCGTGATTATTTAAAGAACATATATGTTATAAACTAGATCGAAATATTAAATAAATGTATTTATTAGTGTCTGTACAATTTTGTGCTGATGATGCTACCTGCTGGGTTGTACTTGTTACTAACTTTTACCATCCACATCACAATTCTTGACCACCAGCTAGGCACTAAGAAATGTGAAGTGTTTTTGACAGGCTTCATTCTGACCATAAAATGAATTCTCTGCTGTATTTATTTAAAAGACCACAAAACTAATTAGTAATAAATTAATGACTTGTGAAGGAACGAGCTGACTAGCATTATGATGTCATAGCACAAAATCACCTTTATGGAACTGTTGCTGATTCCTATCTACTTATTAGCTCTACTTTAGTTTAATCAAGGAGTTAACATCAAGTTACAGTTTTTAGTTTAGATTTTTAAATTAAAGGTATAGTGGTGGAAGTTCTTTTTCTGGGTGGATCATTAAAATAAGTGGTCATCTAAATTGTGAATCATTCTGGTGATATGTTTACATAAGGTGGTCCTTCGTGCTCGTCCCCATTTTCACTTACCGATGGTGAGTCTAACCTAGAGGAGAAATAGATCATTTTATTTTGGAAAGCAAGGTTGTATGAGTGAAGCAAAAAGCAACCTTTAAAGAGAGTGTGCATGAGGAGAAATGGGCTCATGCATGCTCTCGCACATGTTTAATAGTCGTTCTCTCTCAGGAGAAAGTACAGGGTTGTGCATGTGCATTTTTTATTTTATTTTTTTAAGAGAAGGCGGGTCTTTTCAAAAATTCAGGAAAATCCTCCACTATACCTTTAAGTTCTTGCGTTAGGTAGTATGTTGAGTACAACTCTGTTTGGGTTTGCAAGTAAAGTTAACAGCTTGCTCAGACATGGCCAAAGATGAATTAAACTCTAAACATATTAAAGCAACATTAGTCCCAATGCATTTATAGCTGTTTATGCAAACCTTATTCTGCATACTTTTTAAACCACGGTCACGTTTGCATTTGATGGTCATTATTACATCACAAAAATTACACCATAATTAAATTTAAAAAATAGCTTGGAGGAGTTGCACTTGCAGTTTTTTTTTCTGTGAAAAAAAAACGGAATAAGCAAAGAATTTGTGTAATACGCAAAAAAACTGTACAAGGGAATAAGTTAGTGTTGTTTGTAGATTTTTACTAAGGTTTGGAATCACTACATTATCCTCACAGGTGATATCAGTTTCTGCATGAATAACCAAGCACTAGAAACACGTTTAACATTCAGTAAAATAGCTTTTCCATAAAAAACTATGATACTTTTGAAAACGTTGCTGAGGTAGTAGTCTTGGCCCATCTAGCCTCCCAATGAAGTTTAAATTTAAAAAGAAAGGGACCTGATCACCCTTATGAGCCCCTGCCTAATAGATTAGATATATTCAAGCCAAAAATGATTTTTACCCCTGTCATTTAAACAGTATGTTATATTTCTTGATTATCTAATTATCAGTATTCACTAATATCTCATCAAAATATAGATGTAGAGATTTAGATATAATTTGGGATCTAATGACTTACAGAAACAAAACTAAAAACTGTTGTTGTTCTTGGAATCCCATGTATTGTGTTTTAGAGCCCTGAGCTTGCTGGTAACTTCAGTATAAATCTAAGAAAGCTGAATTGATACAAAATTAAGGCAAAATAGGTACTGCAGGTAAGGTATTTACAGCTTTTTAGTAGAATGGAACCCAACTTAAAAATCCCGAATTGGATCTACTTGAATTTCACAAATACATTAGATTACAGATGATACAGCATATTAAGCTTTACAGAGCTTTGGAGTTTTAACTGAAATGAAGGAACTGTTTTAAACCTTTGGCTATATTTATTATTACAATGCTTTTAGTCTTTTTAGACTTTTCCTGTAACTTATTATGTAGAAGGTCAACTGACAAAGGTGCTTGGACAAAAAAGAAGAAAATATGCGTGATAAGTTATATTGTATTTTATGTTTATGTTAAACAAGATGTTTGTTTGTATTTTTGAGTGTGTTTTAGTGTACTGCATTCTCTCTTAAAATCAGCAGGGTTTATTTCGTTAAACAGCAATGTTTCTGTTAAACAGATTTGTTTATTTGCAGCCTTCGAAACACAAAGTGCATTTTTTCACAGGGCTCAGAAGGAATCAATGAAGTGACTTGATTCAAGCAACCCTAATGTCAACATAAAAATGGTCATGTTTGAAAATTGACCTGTTTTAACTATTTTGTTGTTATGATATTTAGGTAAAGGTAGCATGAGGAAAGCTGAAGATAATGTCATTATGACTGGTAAAAGAAGGATCATCTTTTGACATACCTGTTGTCATATTATCCTTTTGGTTGTAGGTCAGTTTACACACATCTTTGTCTCCAATCGACCAATCGTATTAGGCTAATGTGCACCATCATCCATGCCTGGTTTGGGCTTTGCCTTTTAACTGTGAGAAGACACCCATGCTCAGTGATTATGACCCTATCGGAAATCGTTATCTCTGAATGGGATGTGAAAGATGAGGGTTTGTTTTTCTGTTTCCAAGGAACTGCTCATTTGCTGAGAATAACAGAGCAGATCTGTATTTATCTTGTGCTTGTTGTAAATGCTATGTTGGCTAAGACCTCTTAGATGAGGAAAAACTCAGAGGTTAAAGGAATCAAAAAGTTTTATCAGTGAATACAGTGTGATAGATATTATCACTCTGGATTAAATTACATAATTTAAATTTAAATGAATAAAAACAGAAGAAGAAAAAAACATTTGTAAACACAGATTCATTTTTATTGTTTCCAAGTGGCTTTCACTTTTGTGTAAGTAGTTTCCACCTGAATTCATCTGAAAACTAATTGAGTGTGTGGCTCTACATTAGCAACATTAATCTTGAGCAAACGACCGCCTTCTGCAGCAGTTAACTGGAACTTGAACTGGCATCTTTGTGCTTTAACGTTTTAAACAATGAACATAAACGTGTTTTTCACTTCAGGATACAGCTGAATCAAATCACACTGGAAACTAATGAATGTAATGCTTGCAGTCATTTGTAGTTTCTTATAGTTTTAGGGATTTTCTTAAAGGACCCTAACCCTGCATATCACAGTGGAAGCTCTGACACAAAAACATCCAACCAAGAAAACTGTAAGGATTGGAATTAATTAAAGGAAAACCTATACTAGATGGATGTAGTTAAATACAATTCAATATTTACTGTGGGCAATTTCCTGTTGTACTGCACCACATATAGTCATGAATTATGTATGAACATTTGATCCAAGGTCCACCCAAGGGTAATATCAGATGAGAATATGTAGAGTTCCACTCAATGGCGATCAATGTTTATGTTTATCTTTTTTTAGGTTAGTACCATAAATACACTTATTACACTGCATGCTCATCATTTATTTTGTCTCACACTGCAGCCTATCTGCATTATGTCAATGAAATAAGACACATTAACACAAGAAAATAATGCTAATAACTGCTTTGCATACAACATAGCAGATTTGAAACAAAGCAGGTTGCCAAAAAACATTTAGGCCAAATAAAAACAGCTGTAGGCGCTTCACAGTTTCCATAAATCATATGTACTCCACGTGCGCCACTGGTAGAGAATTGACACAGCTTTGACCCCGTAGAATTGGTTCGTCAATCTCACACACCGCCATGCTGTCTGCACTGATGTGATTTAGTCACCTCAGCATACCTGATACTTGAGTCTGTAAGTAAGACTGATGCAACGATCAGCAACGATTATTCCAGCTTACCTGACCATTAACAGGCACTCACAGAGATTTAAAATCTTCTTCCAGAAGGGTAGTTAATCCTTGATGCAACAAGAAAGTGTGAATTCTGCACCTTGATCCTGATAAACAAAAAGCAAAATGCATCAAAAGCAATACATATAAAGGATATTTCTCAAAATTCTCCCTCAACTTCTTACTGTTTGATGTATGCATCCAGCATACATCAAAAAAAGAGAAAATAAACAGGAAACGGGAATAGGGGCATTAAGAGAATAGTAATAATCATCTCTGTAAGAGTAAACATGTTTGAGTGGATGCTTGATGAAACAATGTTGACTTTTGTTGAGTGCTTCACTTCCTTAGGGGATTCAAACACATCCATTTTGCACCATATTCAGCTGACAGAGTGCAGTTACATAATTACTTTATGTGGCACACCAAAACCAGAAATGCTGGTTAGCTTGTCTGAGGCACAAATGCATCTTGGTGTCTTGAGATTTTTTTTTAGATTAGGAGAGAATGTCTGTTCTTTAAGGAAGTACAGCTTAAAGACTCTGTTGCTGTTGTTTAAAAACATTAACACACAGAATACCAGCTGGATCAGTGCTATAGAGATAAATTCCCCATCTGTGAATTAGTTTTATGTCTAAAGATCCTGTAGTTATACTGGAGGATAATCTTTATCCAGGTGGATCATCAATATAAGTTGTCTTCCTAATTGTCAATCTTTCTGGTGATATGTTTAAGTAAGGCCGTCCTACATGCTCGAGTCTGAGAAAGTGGAAAAACTGCAAATCTTCTTTTGGAAAGTAAGCTTGTATGAGCGACGCAAACAGCAACTTTTAAACAGAGCGTGAGAAATGGCCTTGTGCATGCTCTGGAACATGTTTAATAGACCCTCTTGGGTGCGGGTACAGGGTTTTCAATAATTCTCGAAAATCCTCCATTATACCTCTAATGTCAGCTTTTACTTTTGAACTGAACCAGTGAAGAAATGTTCAGGGTTTTCTTTACTTTTCTTGTATCATACGTGTTTGAACTTACTATGGTAATGTTATTTATGAAATGGATTTTAAAACTTGGATAAATAAGCAACCATAATACATAGACATGTAAGACGACTGTTAGCTTGAACCGACAAGAAAGTGTTCTTTAGTTTTATTTTAAAGAGCAAATCTGGATTTTACTTGCTCAGAGAAACAAGTTTGTTCACCTTAAACTAAATGCCTGAGATGTACATCTTATCTTTTTGTTCGCATGATGCCTTTGCCTATGAATCTCGCTGAACAAAGGTCTATAAATTCCCAAGAATCTGTTTTTTTAGATAAGGGCTGCCTGCTCAGAGTACTGTTGTTTCTTTTTTTGTTTCTTAAGCTCTGAGCTGAACAATGCTGTAAACTTGTTCAACATTGTGTAACTTTTATCTCCAAAAGGCTTATGTAACTCCTCATTGAAATGAAAACAGATATCCCTACCTGTCCTGATTGCTGTCTAATGTATGTGTTCTGTATCAGTTCATATGCAACAAATGTTTTGTTCATTTTGTGACTCTAAGTTGCGTTGTGATTAAACTAAAAGAAAAGAGGTTTTTTGTTTTTCTTACTGTCTGAGCTGCTACTACAGTTA